CTCCCTCCGTCCATCCCTTTCTCCACCCACCCCTTCCTCCATCCATCCTACGGGTGGGTCCCCAGGTGTTATCTGGTCCTGCCTCAGGTGGCCCTCCCTCTGATGCTGTCTGTGCCACTTGCCTCTTTGGTTTAGCTGGTTTGAATTGGGGTTTTGTAACTTGCATCCAAGAGCACCCCAAACTGATGCACCGCATTTTTAACAAGCAACGCAGGAGGTCATGACCCTGGTGTAGAGAAATTCTGCCTGGGGGTCAGATACCATCCCCTCAACCCCAACCCACTCTGCGTCCAGCCAAGGGCATCCTCACTTGCTGCTTGTCCCTGCCCTGCCTTGGCAAGGTCCTCCGCAGCAATGACTGCCCTCGGCGGAGGGGGATTTATAGCCCTTGACCGGGCTGAGAGCAGTCTGATGACTGCTACACGAGCCTCTCCAAGCAGTGAGAGCAGCAGCTGATTACTGATCTCGTTCTCTTGTACAGTTTTATTTATTGCCTTTCAAAACCCGGTTCTTCTACATCATTCAAACGTATCTATGTTTTCCACTTAAATAGATTAAACTTCAGTGCCCAGGGAACAGAAAAGAGGGTTGGGAGTTGAGGGAGGGCACCTAGGGAAAGACTATGGGTGGAAAGTAAGAACTCCTGGGAGGAAGGAAGCCGACAGGGGAGCAGACCCCAGTGCAGGGACCTGTGCTCCAGCCTCACACAGCAATGTAGCAGTGGCAGGGTTTGGGAGGTGGGGATTCTCTAAATGTCCCATGAACCCAGGGAAGAGGCCTGGATACATAGATGCGGGATGGGTCAGGGAAGGCCTCCAGGCACTCAACCATTAGGGAATGTCCAGCTGTGCTCGGCATTGCAGGTACAGAGACGGGAGACAACACCCTGGGACAGTGCATCAGACCCTCCAGTGTGTCTCCTTGGATTCACTGTCTCACGTGTCCCTGGGGCCTTGGACCACTTCCTCCCTGCCACGGTGGCCAGCTCTGCATGGACTCCAACTTGCTTTAAGAGGGCACAGCCTCATTGTCACACCCTGCCCCTACCCTGGGGCTTCTCAGTGGCTGCTGAGGTGTGAGGCATGCAGGGACTCTGTGTCCACTCCAGGGCCACCCAGATGTGTTAAGAGTTAAAACTCCATTGAAGGGTGGGGCTTGACCACTTCAAGCTGGAAGCCAAATACTGAACTCTTCCCTTCCTCCTCACTACCCCTCCCAAGAGTGACTTCAGTGGCTTTGGAAGATGACACCTGGAGATCCAGCAGTTGCCCTTGACACCAACTGGTGGCCGCTCAGTAACATGCCCTGGGCCTTATTCATGTCCCCCTCCTCCCATCCCTCCCACATCCCTGGAGAGAGGCCTCTGGCAGGCTCAGCTTTCCCATAATCCAGGCTAAGACAAATGGTATGGGGTCGGGGAGGGCAAACCTTCATTTAATGAACAAATATTTATTGAGCCCTACTACAGGCCAGGTCCTTTGCTAAATGTTAAGAACACAGATGTGACAAGATAGATGCCGTCTTCCCCTATGAGGCTGATGTTGGGAAAAGAGAAATTAATTATGTAATTAATGATCTGTAAACAAACACTTAACTTTACCCGAGATGGTAGGAGAATCCTTTAGTGACATGATTAATTTTTTCACCTAAGGACTGTTTATTGATTTGGGTTTTCACACTGAGGCTCCAACTTAAAGCATCACAGCACCCAGGAACTCCCAGAAAGGGGAGGCAGGCTTAGCTCGAAAAGGGGACAGATGGCTTTGGAGCTTATACTTGAACTTTAAAACAAGAGAGGGGAGAGATGGACATAGAGTATTTAAATGATGCCAATCACAGGCCACTGTGGCTAAGCCCCTCAGAGGGGAGCTGGGCCAGGAAGAGGCACCTGCTGCCTCTGTCACTCTGGGCTCTAATACTAGTCAGTACACATATTAACATGTGTACAAGAGTTTGAAATATGGCCTGGTGGTCAGTGTGTAAGCTGTAAAACAAGATAGCTTGGCTGGAGTCCCGTTACTCGCTACCTAATCTTGGTTCTGATTAATCTCTCTGTGCCCCGTTTCTACATGTATAAAATGGGGATGCTCACTCCAGGGAACAGGAAGTGTTCTGGAGCAGTTGGGAATCTTTCTTGAAATTTCCAGTTCTGTCTTAAAATTCATGAGACTTTTTGTATTTGACTCCATATGATTGTTTTAGTATGAAAAGTTTCCCTTGTTTATTTTGTGACTTGGGATATTCACAGGACACTGGCTGACACCACAGTCCCTCTGCTCATCCCCTTCTCCCCTACTGTCTCCCTGTGTTGGCCAATGTGCTGTAAGTCAAGCTAGAAGTTAATGGAGAGAAACAGTCATTTGCTTCCGGGGAAAGACCAACTCCTAGAAGCTGAGTCTGAGTGGGAACAGCCCTCTGTCCAAGTTTTCCTTACAACAATATAGCTAACTCTTCTGGGGAGAATTTGGGGTGCAGTCATAGGAGCTCTTAACCACCCCAAAGACTTGATTCCCTCTGCCCTTTCCCTCTGTGGATCACCCTCGCACACACCCACAACTGCTTGAATCCTCACAGCCAGCAGGTCACTTGTTAACAGCCTTGTATCAGTCAGGGAGGGCCAGTGCTATGTAACAAACAACCCCCAAACCTCAGTGCCTGAATGCAATAAAAGCTGATTTCTCACAGCCTGAAAAGAGTCTGCTGGCTTTTCTCCAAACTCGGAGTCTTGGCCTCTTCTGCCTTGTGGTTCTGCCCACCTGTGCCCTGCAGGGTTCAGATATGAACTCATCAAATCCTCATAATAACCCTGTTAGGAAGAGCTACTATGATCAATCCCATTTTACAGATGAGGACCCAAGGCCAGCCTGTGAGCAGCAGATGCTCGATTCAAAGCCAGGCTGACTCACTCCAGAGCCCTATGTTGACCCACTCTGCTGTGCCTCCAGCCCCTTAACCCATCACCTCACATTTCTAGTCATATTTTACTGCTCATCCACGTTTTTGTGCTACTTAGACTAATGCCTGGGCCACTGCCTGGCCCACAACCCCTTACCCTGCCCCTACAGGCCCTTCAGACAGAGGAACAGGCTTGTAAGCGCTGGTTCCCACATTTTATGTCCTAAGTTTCATGTGGGAAATGTAATATTCAGATTCCCAGAGCAACCCCCCAAGGGATTTGACTCAGAGGTCTTAGGTGGGGCCTGAGGAATCTGCATGTCTAAGAAGTCCACCGTGACCATGAAGCGGGTGCTCCCTGAGACTAACATGGAAATGCCTGGTTTGGGGAAGGCCCCAGAAGTCCAGGTGGGGTAGATATAGAAATGTCCTCTTGCATGGTGAGCTGCTCACAGGCACAACCTCCGCATCTCTCAGTCAGGTCCTCTCAGTTCCCCACAAACATTTGTCTGATAGATCTTCAGCTCCTGGGGAGCTGCTGGGACCATGATCTCTACTTCTTGGCTGTTTATCTGCCAATCCACAGGGTCAGGTCCCGGGGGAGAGCATATTTCAAGCTGCAAAGTTGAAATTCACTTTGAAGAAGCAGCTTATCTTCTGGTCCAGGCTCCAAGCAGTGTTTCCATGGCAACCTAGCCACAGCATCATCTTTTGTTATCCCCTCCAACACCTCCTCTTCTGTTTATTATAAGTCTGTATCCCAGTCCTTTCTCAAATTTCCTTCCCTGGGGACTCACCTCCTGCTAGACTCCCCTTTGTGGTTATTTTAAAATCTAAAAGGGGTAGTTTGTGGTTGACCAACCACACTCCCTGCCCCCTAGCTGGTACCTGTTGGTGGGTTAGCTCTGCTGTCAGGCTGGCAAATGCGCCTCTCCCAACCAGGCAGGAATGAGACACAGCGGGGGATAACAGCCAGGCCCGGTGCACA